TTGGGAGAAACTCGGAAAATATGAAGATATTGTATCCATTCATTCATTTCAAAGGAAAACTTTTGATGCTGGTAATTTATCTGCTCTGTGTAAATTGAACAGTCTCGTTTCATTACATCATAGTTGCCTTGTCTTTCCAGTTTAATATTAAGTTTCTATTTGAACTTAGGACTTATTTGTTTTCTTTTTAAGTCTTAGTATATAGATTCTTTCTCTAGAATATAAGTCTTTTGTGAATTAATCATTGTAAGGGACTGTTGATGTTGCAGGCTGGTACAGAGGCTTCAACTCAAGAAACAGAAATGTCAAAGGCATATTTCCTGCGCAGTTTATCCATCTCAAGCCATTCAAGATTGATAATGAAGGGTTTGTGGGGTTTATCTGTCTTTCTTATCCAATAATCAAAACAAGATTTTGTATTATCTCAAATATTTTAAAGACTTTTCTGTTTACCTTTCTTAATTTTCAATGTTTTCTTTTTTAGTGTCTATGAAACGGTAACACCTGTGGAAGATCCTGTTGTGCAGGAGGCGGCATCCGTGCTGAGAGAATGGGGGCAAATATGGAAGAAACTTTATGTGGTAAATAATCAAAATTGAGTTTATTATCTGAATGCAGTGGTTCCTAAACTTTTTTCAGTATTGGTACCCCAACTCCTGTAGTCCTTTTATGGTACTCTTTCTTGATTCCTTACCCCATCCCACATGAATTTATCTGTACATCAGAGTGCATCTTCACTTGTTTCATGAATAAAAGCTGTATGAAGCAAAGTAAACATATGTTGTATTCCTATATGACAAATATAAAGCTTCCATAAAAAATAAGAATATCTTATTGCATCATTTGTTTTATTTCTTGGTACTCCTTGATAAAAGTCTTAACTCTTCTTGGTGCTACAGTACCTAATTTTTCTCATTTCCCTGTAATCAGCAGATGTTACCAAAACTGGATGTGGAAGGGAGCAAACATCATGGATATATTCTTGTTTTTGTATTCCAGGAGCTTGGGACACCAAATGGAGACCAAGAGCTCTGGGATGCTGTCCGGAAAGCCATGATGGATGTGGCTGACTGGAGGAAACAGCTCATCACGGGAACGCTTACCTCAGACCAGATAGCACAACTCAAATTAAAAATAACGCGGAAAATAGACTGGGGAACAGGTAAGAAACTTCACTTATGATTTAGTATTGAAGTTAACTCCTTGGAAAAATAAGAGGGATAATTTATTACTTGCATGATATCCCATCATATTTGTATTTGCATTTTCTTGTATTTTGATGATATCCTTGCTAAGTACAGTATGTTAGATTTTGTTTTATCAATATGAAAGTGATTCACGTCTCAAATTACTATCAAAATAAAAAGAAACCAAAGAAACCCTACACCATGAAACATCATGGTGTAGGGATTGCATATTCTAGATTGAATGAAAATGTATTTCACCAAGTTATAATATTATGATTATTAATAATCTAATTATTATGACCTACAGGAAGCTGGGACTTGACCTTGTGCCCCGAGTCGATGGGGAGATGGTGGATCCCGATTGTGTTAGTGTGGTAGAGCTTCATCAGGTGGTAAGTAAAGGCTTCTCAAAATCAGCACTTGGATTGGATTCATTGCATAACTCTTGAAATGCTCCTATGTTATGCATACATTTTGAACCAGTGTAAGATAGTTTAAGAAGAAATGAACTTATCATTTTTGTTTTTTCTCTCTTTAAATGCATGATAAATATTAAGATCATGTGGCCTTGTATTATTAAATTTCTGATGAGATGCAGTTTGCAATCATAATTGTTTATTTTGCATTAGCAAGGCCATTTTATAGATCTGGTTGAATAGCTAAAATTTATAAATTTGGTATGTGATTTAATACAAAACCATGTTATGCTAAAATTATTATAAAAGAAGTATGCCCTTGAAATATGTAGTTTGGTTTATAAAAAAGTATCCAGTATTCACTAGTCTTCATCATTTTCTCTCCTCCTGAACAGCATGTACAAAGTGCTGAAGCTTCACAAACTCACACTCAGGTAAGCCAAAGATACAGAAATGTAGAAAAGAAAGTCTTTTGATATTTTCTATTTGACTATCCTTTTGTGACTAAAATCATTCTCTCTCTGATCAATATTCAATTCTGAATTGTTTCATCTTAACACAAGTATAGGTACAGTTTACGTATGTGAATATGCTTATTGCAGTATGCTATTGTGAAGTTGCTTCTATCATGAATTTGCAAGAGGACCTTTAAAAGATTATGATAAGAAATAGAATACATAGAGGACTTACATATATGGGAGTTAGACATCCTCTACAAGCAGTCTTGATCGCAATTCATAATGCCAATTCTGTTTCCTCTCTGTGCTGCTTAATTTGTTAATAAGCTAAATATTAGCTTGTTGCCACTACCTGTAGTATTGTCTTTCAGATTATGTTAACTCACTGACACTGGGGTGGCATGACACATGCCATGTGGCCACTCTTATTTTGATATATTGATTATGTTTACATATAGATGACTTTATAAGTGTTTTGTTGTCAAGGAGTCACTTACTAGTCCTACCTATTGCATCTATTTAATTTATCCTTGATTTAGTAAAGATTTTTTTATTGTTTATTGTCGATAGTACTGGTAATAACAGTATGAGTATTAATAAGATCAGAATATAAAAAAATCCCTAAAATTCAATGAATAGAAAGATCAGGTGAGGTCACATATGGCCTACTAATGGAATCTAAGGTGACTAAGTAATTGTGGAGCCATCTATGTGTAAACAAACTGGTCCCCCCCCCCAAAAAAAAAAAAAAATACATATATATTTTTAAAATTTGCATTGCAGTTTCATGAGAAATGTGGTTTGGAGTATGGTATTAGCAAAGTGCAATTTTTAAAATGTGCAAAGAAAAATGTATCCCAACGCAGATTCAGACGACAGAAGTATATTATATTTTCTGAATGACTTGATGCTTTTATCCAGGGCCTTGGAACACTTGGAAAGAGGAAGGAGAGGAGGAAAATCTTGAGTCATCACTTGTTTTTCTGTATGAGAGATTTCTCATACTACTTAGGAGAAGATGCTGAGGTTTTCTTCTCCTTGTATGATGCACAGAGAGGAAAGATTATAAGGTGAGGCCATAACTTAATTATTATACTAATTTGTATTCTTATTGACTTAAATCATGCTTATCTTGTATGCCACTAAATATCTAAAATGTTTAATAATGTTTATGGAAATTATATGCTAATGCAGTGTATTTCTTCCTTACTTTCCAGTGAAAGATTTCTAGTCAAATTATCAAAAGAAGGATTTTCAAATTATATTGAAAAAATCCATAGTAACTGCACAATATTTACAGTAAGTATGAATCTGTCATAATTGTATTGAACTTGTTCTGATTTTTCCGAATAATTTTGATAGGTATTTGATGTTGCTAAGAAAAAAAAAAGAAAAATTGCAGACCTAATGAATTTGAACATAATACTTTTAGTTTAAGGAATATATTCAGGAAAGTCTTCAAATACTCTAAGAAATATTTATCTTGAATGGTAATAAGTTCAATTAAAGCAAGAGCTACAGTCCCTCAGTCACTCATATCAGTGCCCTTCCCCAGGACCTTGGTAGTGGAGACCTAGCATCAGACTTGTATATTGTTGCACATGTTGTTAGAGTTGGAAGGATGCTGTTCTCAGAGTCAGTGAAGAAGACCTCATCCCACTGTTATCGCAGACCTCATGGTGTTGCTCTGTTCAGATTATCACAGTCTGTTCTCCAAGGCAGTGAGGGAGAGGTGAGTTAGTGGACACAACATCTGTTGATGATATGATTTTTCTTACATGCCTATTTACAAATGTGGTTTTATTTGAAATATTTGCTGTTCATTAGGTATTCCTTTTACAGGTTGAGCTAACAGGAAAACTGTTTACTTCTGATGAGAAGGACTTTTGGCAGCTTCACGAACTGGTTCTTAAGAAGCAGTCAAACAAATATTCTATCCTGTCTAACAATGCCAGTTATGGTCTGTATATCATATTATTATTTGTATTTTATTTGTTAATTGATTATACTAAAACTTTCGACATTTGCATAATGAGAATTGCGTTGTTTAGTGTTGAAGCCCCTCCCAATTCCTTGCTTGTTGTACTGTGGGGGCTTTGGAGATGGAGACTGAGGCACAATGCAGGGAATCACCCTTACCTTGGACTTCAGCCCTCACCTCAACAAATTTAGTTTGGTCTTTTCTTCTCTCCCTTCCCTCTTCTGTATCTTCTTCATCCCCTTCTTCTGTACCATTCCTAAGATGTGAGAGCCATGCTGAAATGATGAAAAGCTGGCTTTGTGTTAGTCATGAACAGCTTCTTGAGGTATGGGCACGGTATTCCCTTGGTTAATTGCCTATCCCTTACCCTTTACGGGGACCCTGAGGGATAGACCGTTTCTTTTCCCCGTATTATTCAGGCTCACCATGGCCAATAATGAAGATTCTTTACTCATAATAGAGGCACTAAGGCTTACCCCTTCATCAACTAGCTTATCTAAATTTGATTTTGATGTTTTTCTGACTCCTACCCATGTCATTACTCAGCCTTCAGAAAGCACCTCTTCTTCTCCCAACATTCTCCTCTCTATATCTCCTACTGCACAGTCTTCTTCAATGTCTACCCTCTCTGCCCTAATAACTACTTTTCATCCATATTGTCCTCCCCCCCCCCCCAACCTGAATATAAAATAACTCCATAGGTGTTTCTTTGCAGGTTTGGTTGTGAGTGTGAAGGTGGTGCATGGTGAGTTAGAACAAGCCACCAAGGAAAATCCCCTGCTGCTCAAGAATGTGTGTGTTACTAAGAAACTTGGCTTCTCAGATGTCATTATGCCTGGAGATGTAAGGTAAATAACAGTGGATTTTTATGCCTAGTGTGATTTCGTTATTTTCTTTCATGGTGATAGAAATTAAAGCAATGCTTGTATCTATATTGTTGTGAATTGATGAAATACTA